TCATCATGGCGAGTTTGGTCCAGCCTTTCCTGTTGTCAACGCCTTTGGAGGATTTGATCATCATGTAGCCTTCCTTGCCATGGTAGCCGCCCTCAGCCGCTAGGCGGACACCCAGAGCAGACAGCTCGAGGAACTTGCACAGGCGGTTGCTGTCAGGACGGAAGATGAGGTAGGTCATGAGACCTCGCAGATATTGTTCCAACTTCTTCCGTTGGCGTTCATGATGGTTCTGTTTCGCCTGTAGGGGCTGACCGGCGGCGCCAGCAAAACTGCCCTGTCTCGCTACGAGGGCACCGACAGCACCTTGAGCTTGAGAACCACTTACGCTTGACTGTCTGCGACCTAAGAATGATGACTTGCCTCGCTTGGGTCTGTTGGGGCGTTCGGTAGCGCTTGCATCGCCGTCTGGTCCGCTGGCTCCTGCTGCAGCTTCTTCCTCCTCTTCCTCACCTTCGTCATCAAGGATGCCGTAACCTCGAAGACCTCGGAGATAGGGCAATACACTTCTGGGGAAGCGTGGGAGTTTTGTGCGTGGATCTTCTTTCTCTTCTTCCTTCTCGGCCTCGCCGTCTTTGGATGTCTTGTCCTTCAATTCTCGCATACGGTTAGCCGGGCGACTGCGGAAAGCGTCTTGCTTCTCCTGAACTTTGAACTTGAGATGCAGATTGGCAAAATCGGCGACACTTCTGTAGACAACCCACTTCATCCTGGTCAGACCACTGCCGTATTCCAGCTCTATGCGCAAAGCAGTATGCCGATCGCCCTCCTTCTTTGCGGGGCGGTCTGTATCGGTGATGGTAACCTTGAGCTGCTCGAGAAGGACGGGGATACGCCTGTGGCCGTGCTCATCGCGTTGGAACATACTGGCAAAGAACAAGGCTGCGGGTGCACCAGCAAGCAGTTCAGCCATCAGCTCGGCCGACTTTGCGTGGTCGATTTGGCGTTCGGCCTTTTGTCGGTTGCCGAGCAGCTTGAGGCTGTTCTTGATGGACTTCCACTTCTGCGCACTCAAACTTGACGTCCGCTCGCTACGCATCCGCCATGGTGAGGGCTGTGTGTCTCCCGCCGCACCCCTGAAGGTAGTCAAGCTTCGCAAGTTGCCGGTAGGACGATTCTGGTGACCCTCTTCCTCGCCGTTGGGGTCGTGTCTTCGCAAACCTCCGTACGAAAGTCCCCTCGCACTGTGTAGTCCGCGTGTCCATGCGCTCTCTTTTGCGATGCGCGAGCGACCCTCGTCTTCTGAGTAACCCTGACGCTCGTTCTCGGGTATGTCATCCATGGTGGAACGGCGTAGGAAGCCCGGGCGTGTCGAGGTAGGCGTCATGGTGGGTGAGTCACGCGAAAAGAAGCCGCCTGTTGTCTGCTTGGGCGTGGTAGGGGCCGTTTGGGTGCCTTCGCCCTCGCCATCGAACCAACGGCGGCTGCTCTTCCGCCTCTTTTGTCTCGGTCTTCTCGAAGCACCCTCGCCAGCGCTAGACTCGCCGTCAGCATCGGCCTCGCTGTCGTGTCCCTCGAATCGCGGCTCGTCGTGCTCGGATGTAGGCGAAAGCTGGCCATGGGGTGAGCCTTCATGGCCTGAGCTTCCTCCCAATGCACTCAGACTCCTGCCGTGTCCTTGCATGGGCGCTGCCAGTGCCCTCAGCTTGCCCATGAGCGACGAGCTCTGTCCACTCCGCTCCTTGCCCTTTCCTTCGCCGTCTTCGACCTCCCATGACTGCTGGCGCGAGTTGGCGGCGGGCGGATCGGATGTGAATGTGGCGGAGCGAGCGAACTGGACGCTCTTGCGCTCTCGGGGTGCGTCGGAGAGTTCACCCTCGGTAGGGTGTCGGGACATGGGCGCGAAGGGCGGGTAGTAGGAGCTGGTGGACCCATTGGACATGTGCGAGGAAGGCTTCGGGGCGCGGAGAGGGGCTTCAGCAGCTTCGACGGGCACGGGGATGCTACCCCCGTTGGCGTTCGCTGGGACATGGAAAGGGAATTCGCCGGCTTCCTTGCTGGAGATGGGCGAGCCGGTCGGGGCAGAGCGCATGATCTTGGGGGCGCCGTCCGAGGGCGAGGGGTTGTGTATGTCTTGCGTCTCATTCCTGGGCTGTCCCAGGCTAAGCGGCGATAGCAGTCGGCCGGACTCGTCTGTCCTTCCTGATACTGCAGGCGATCGCGAGCGAGGGCTGCGCGTCGTGGGCGAGCCCCCGGTCTTGCTGGAGCCAACCATGGTGACAGCACGGAAGAGGCAGAAAGTGTCGGTGGGTGTCTTCTCACGGCGAGGTCGCGTGGGGGTGTGGTTGCTGGGCTTCTAGGGCGTTATACAGCCATGGTAGCCAGGAAACGTGCTGCTGCCGTCACTCGTCACGATGGATTGATGGAATGCTGCCCCAGGTGGAGTTTGAGTATACTCGCAGTGACAGGTCTATGTCACGGATAGGCGAGAGAAAGAGACACGCGGCGCAGGTGATCAGTGTACGTCGTGCTGGGTCCCTGCGCGGTTCGAGTAATCTGTAATCTCCCAGGTGCTTTCCCCGGGCGTGAACTGTCTGGTTGCGCTAATACTTCCAAGGTTTTGGCGTCAGGGGCCCTCTCCGCCTGGCTGACCGCCTGCAGCGCGTCGATGCTCCACACCACAGATATGTACGATGCAGCGCCCTGCAGAACGCGTCAAATATCGCCTTCGTCGCGTTCGTGACATCGCTTTCACATGCAACGCCCGCTTCTCTGTGAAAGAGACTCGATGATGTCGCCGCTGTCTCTCTGCGGCGTGGCTGCACCCCGCACTGTACTCCCAATCATCACAAGCATACCGAACTCACCACACGCGTGCACAATGGAAAGACCCCTTGTACCGCTGTATAATCGCGCCATGCATCCATATGCCATGGCCAGCACATCGCCCAGTGCCGCCTGTGAAGCTTGTCACACGATGATGTAGTTCTGCCGTCGACGGCAGCCTCGGTCGGCGATCCCCTGCCCCTCCGCATGCCCATGTTCCAAGATACACCAGACGAATAGCTCCATATTCTTTTCTCTAGACCTGCTAATCGCCCAACCCTATATCGCTATCCTCACTATTTCTAGAGCCATCGACCAACATGGCAGCGACTACGAATCCCCTTCACGGGACGCAGAACTCGTCCGACCTCCCCGTCTCCTCCCGCACCATCACAATCGCCGGCATCCTGGTCGACGTCCATGGCCTCGACCAACTCCCTCCTTCCCCATCGTCAGTCGCCTGCCTATGGCTTCTCAACCCGCGATTGCAGACCAAAGAGACCATGGCTCCCATAGCCAGACGCGTCATCTCGACCTGGAACCAGCGCATACAAGACGGCCGGGCCGGCAAGAACCCCAAGGGTTTAATCGCTGCTGCGTTCGATCAACGTAATCATGGATCGCGCAAGGTGGACGATTTGCACAATCAAGCCTGGAGGGAAGGAAACGAGACGCATGCCCAAGACATGTTTGGATGCTTCCACGGCACCGCGACCGACACCTCTCAGCTCATCAACCATCTCGAATCCTACATCTTCACCGCCAAGGATAGTCCCAAGATCGAACAACACTTTGCCCTTGGAATCTCGTTGGGCGGACACGCGACATGGCATTGCTTGCTAGGTGACCCCCGCATCACCGCTGGCGTAGTCGGTATCGGTTGTCCAGACTATACGCGCTTGCTGACTGACCGCGCCCGCCTATCCAAGCGAAAGACATACACGGAGACGACACCACCTGGAAGCGCATTCCTCGGATCCCCCGACTTCCCACAAGCGCTGCAGGACGCCATCGCCCAGTATGATCCTGCCGGTCTACTGCTACCGGGCATGTTCAATCCTCTAGGAAACGACACATTACCCGATCAAGAGCAGCTATCTAGAATGAAGGCGCTGATGAAGGAGAGACTTCAAGGCAAGCGCATTCTGAACCTCAGTGGACAGGCAGATAAGCTTGTTCCCTACTCGGCTGGTGAGCCGTTCTACAAGATCTTCAAACAGGTACTAGCAGAAGACCCAAGTCTTGACATCACCTTCGACGACGTGTTGTTCGAGGGCGTAGAACACGCTTTTCCTAAACCTATGGCAGACAAAGCAGCGGACTGGCTGTGTGACATTTTGGCCACGGACGATGGACCAATGTCAAGTAAAATATAGTGAAGCGCATACCAACAGCCATCGCACATAATTGAATACTCAAACAGCACCATCATAGTATCGCCTCTTTCTTTCGCTTTGCTCGTCACTCGTTCACCCTCTAATTCTGTTTCTTGCTACTGCCAGAAGTATAAAACATCTTGCTTCCATGTCTGCCCCCTCTCGACGCACCATGCGCAATCTGCGAAATCGCTTAGCCCCAGAACACAGAATCCCACGCTACCACGCCTTCTCCACTCCCGAAGAGCAAGCAGCATACTTCGATGACACAGCCCCCTCCCCCGCCATCCTCCCTTACGCCGTGAACAGCTCGCCCACGTTGACTGAGATATCTCTAGCCCGGGAAATTATCATCAGGCCCTTGGAAGAAGACGGAGACGTTTACCAATATGCAACGTCAAGCAACCAGCCTAAAACCGAAGAAGAACACGTTCTTGAGCGCATTGGCGGATTAATCGCTATGCTTACACTGTACAACCTAGCCAGGTCGTGCGAGGATATGAAAGAAGATGATTGGGAAGAATACATAACACCCTACGAAGAAGGCGATCTGGAGATGCTGGAACGTGTCTGCCCCAAGCAATGCTGGAACGAAGAGATCAGAGAGGCATGGCCGAATCTCATCGTATTTGCGCGGCGAGCAAGGAGAAATCTTAGTTAAAACTGATTGCACCAGATAGTCCACTCACACTAAAGTAAACCTCTCCACCAACCCCCCATCATCCATCCACTCACACACCCCCAAATCCTTCGCTGAAAAAGGAACTTTTCCCAACCTCTCATACACATTCCCCTCCCTCCCCTCCACTCTCGCCACAATAATCGCATGATAACTTGCATCTCTTTCCATCTCCTCCGGCCTTACATGCCTCCACAGTATCGCAGCCCACAACTCCCTTCCCCTCGCCCTTTCCGTATGAGTCTGCGTATCGAAACAAGTATACGTAGGTTCCATATCCCCCTCCAACTTCTCCTTCGTCTGAGCCACAGCACCCTTCTGCCGATTGGGAAAAACATCGCCATCGCCTTCTCTCTGTTCGGCCGCAGGGTACAGTCGTTCCAGCGGCGCGCTAATGTCTATATAACCGTCTGTTACCTCGCCGAAAGGATTTTGGGCGCTCTTCAATGTAACACTCGTAGCGTGGATCTTGGCTAAAGCCGTCCATTCCCCCTTGTCCCATCCTATGCCAGAGTTCGGGCTGAAGAGGCCGAACGGCCCGTCGATGGCGGCCCAGGACCAGCTTGGTGCGCGGTATACTGCCGGTGCGGTTGTCGTGCCGACGGCTTGCCAGATTAGGTCATGGAGTAGGGTTGGGGACCAGTGTCCTGCAAGGTAGGTGGTTGGGGAAGGGAGCAAGGAAGCGTAGGTGCGTGCGAGGCCAGAGAGGGCAACCAGTTTATCCGAAGGTTTGGTTAGAGAACGGCGGGAGTAGGCGTCTAGCACTGCGTGCCAATGTAGCGTGGGGTTTTCTGGGATGGGTTTATCCGGAGAGGAAGGGTGGGTGTGGGATGAGAATGTGCGGGATGTAGTTGGGAAAAGAGTATCCACTCGCCCTGGTAGGTAGAAACCCTGCTCGCTCAGGAAAGAACAGTAGCACTCGAAGAACATCTGTTCCGTGCCGAAATGCAGCACACGCGGTGCGAGCCAGCGTTCCTGCAACGCCCAGCCGCGTTGGCTGAGTGGTTCGGTCTTTAGCATTGCGTTGTTTCCGGCCCAGGAGGGCTTTGCGGCTGTTTCGCGGGAGGAGGAGAAGGCGTGGAGAGTTCCTTTGATGCCGGTTGTGGTTGTGTATGAGAAAGGGGAGTAGATGGGTGCTGGGCGGTTGGGTGAGAAGATGGTCAGCCCAGATGCAGAGCAAGGAGAACCGGTTGCGGAGAGCATGATGTAGGCGTTTGAGTAGACGGAGGCCATGCGTGATGTCTCGCGCGACCAGTCTTCTGAGTCGTCTTGGCAGATACTGGGGCTGTTAGTGTTTGGTGTTCTGAGTAGAATGGGGAGGGTTGGCTTACCAGAGGGAGTCGATCCATAGGTAGCCGATTCCCATTTCTCTAGCTATGAAAATGGCGTCCTGGAACGTCTTTGGGAGCTGTTCGGTATCGATACCCCTCTTGTTGGCTTCGATATTGGCACGTGTGGTTGCGAACGGGCTTGACTCGCCCCAGACATAACTCAGTGCTGCGTAGCGTCCCAGCTCTTCCCCTACGGACTCATAAAGAGCTACTCTGTGCGGCATCGAGTCTCGTATGTCCAAGACACGAGCTGGAAGAGGTGCCGCATCGACATGACAGCGCTGATCCGTCCGTTGTTTGTCGCAGTCGCGTACCCAGTTCAGGGCATGTGCAAGTGTATGCGGCGATGAGGAGAGTGTCTTGCGACCTCGAACGACAGCGGCCAACGGATCGCCGTCTACAACGCTGTTAGTCGAAGCAACAGCTTCACCCAAACTCCTGGATACTTACAATCAGCACACAACCCCACAGCAGCAACGACCCAAACCTGACACCAATACTTTGTATCGACCGACACCACCATGAAACCCCCGGTATCATTCACACCCCTAACCAGACACATCTTCCAATCCGGTCCTCCGCCACGCTCGGCACGAATTCCAGGTTCCTTCTTCGCCCCACTGAAATCGGATTGAAACTGCACGACATCGCGCTGTACGGTCTTGCAGATTGCGCAATCATCGGCAGCGGCGTCTTCGAGGTCTTCGATAGATTGGTGGAAGGGTATGCCAATGGGTTCTTGATCCTTTGGACGGTCTTGCTTGTTCTTCCAGAGGTCCCTGAGAGGTTGGCTACTGATTTGGACTAGGCACGGGTAGTCGCGTCGAGTAACAGTGTGGATTTTGTAATCGGGCGGTAGCTTAGGGATGTCGAGGACGTCGACCGACTGGCAAAGATCGCATAATGGCATGTTGACTTCTTTTTGATTTACTGCGAAGCTCTTATGTCAAGCTGTGATGAAAAGGTGAGCTGCGCACCGGGCCCTTCTATAGATTTAGCATTGTTGTTCTCTGTCGACATCATCGCCAGGCAGCTGTGGTGGCGAACGTATATTGCCAGACCACTGCACGTGTTGGATTACCCCTGCACAGCACCTTGTACAGGTGTACAGCAATGCGATTGGAGGCGAGTTATCTGGGTTGCCTTGGTGAGATAACTTGATAGGTGCAGTTCGAGGCGTGGCTATGCCGGCACGAATGTACTGTGCTGTGCGGGGAAAAATGAGCCAATGAGCAATGCTTGTCCTACGTAAATCTTTCCTTTGAGGCTTGTTCCTTCTATCTTTGCCAGCGCCTTACTCTGGTCATAAGATGCTACTTCTGACGTATGACTGCATTGGTTCAGTACGCAAGCAAATCAGCGCAAATTCCCGTAGCCATGAACATGCCTCACAATTGGGAAGGCATTGCCCTTATCATCTACAGCGAATGCCCACCGTACATCTTGCCTTCAACGACTGCTCCCACATTCTCTGCCGAGAAAGCGCAATGACCCAGTCCATCAGCACCAGTACTGACAACGCCCCACTGCAGTTTCTTCTCGGCAATGTTCTGACCACTGCCAACCTGTTCTGTCGGATGACACGCTGCGCTGATGGCCATACTGCAGCTCCCCGCAAGCGGCATACCGCGCGCATATGGTGTGTACCCGAAAGCAACTATGCTGATGACCATTAGTCCACCCAACACTATCACTGATATGATGGCCGGCGGCGAGTAGCCCAGAGTCTTGTAATCGAATGGCATGTTCGATGCATCAGACCCAGTGCCTGGTTTCCCAAATGGGTCGTAAAAGTCGATGGCGATCAGGAAGATGCTTTGCGAAACCAGCCAGTGTAATGTGCCACTCAGCACCATGAGAGGTATACCGAAGCGATAGGGTAGCTGGAGGAAGTATGTCGACCGTTGAGCACCGGCAGGTTGATGAGTTACGCGAAGGCCCTTACGCTTGCTTGAATAAGACACCCATTCGTAGCCCATTAGCATGGCCGTGAAGAGCGCGTTGTAACTAAAGTACAGAAACGAGAGAGCTACTTGGGGCGTGTTGGCGATGACAGCGATGGCGATCAAACCCGATGGCAAATACACCCCCATGATTGCTGTTTGAGGATCCACAGCGCCTAGAGGTAATTAGCACCGTGCTCAATTTCACATGACAATCAAATCATACATACCGAATGAAAACTGATCAAAGGTAGTCCCCAAGGGTAGGTTGTCAATTCCCAACTTGAGGAGGAAGCTCACTATAGCTAGGGCAAGTAAAAATCTGATCAGTAATGTAAGCAAACTGCCAACGATATCTTCGGTTTATCGGCGTAACCTACAAGACGACAACAACGATCCTGCGGGTGATGCTGGTCACATCTTTCCAGTAGTAACGATCATCCCGCCATTGTCTCGGTCCTACCTGATACCCTTTGCGGTTTCGAAAGTCTGCTAGTGTAGATAAACACATGTCCTTCGTTGTAACGTCTTCGTTCTCCAGAAACGATACGACGGCGTCGCCCATTGTCATGAGCGGCTCGTCGTGCACGAAGAGCAAGACGTAGAACATTAGACATGCTTTGACTGTAAAAACGTTAGAGTTGATTCGATCTCGAATTGTTGGTCGACGAGCGTGTTCTTTACACTGCTGCGTCTGTATAGGCGTGGAGAACGACAGCTGAACTTACAGAGATTGAGTATCGTAATAACAGTCGTAATAGTAGGCTCGAAGTGGAGCTTACAATGGGGTTGAGCCGGCTCACTTAAACAGTACTCCACCGGCGTACGTGACCGGTCGCAAAGCCCTTCACCGTCGCAAAGCCATCCAACCTGCCAAGATTCTTGCTTCTTGACATCCTGTACCACGACTGAACATGGGGTGGATTGGTCGCGCGACGCGGAACATATCCAGTCGTATGCAAAGCTAGCTGCCGCGGCATCCGCCGCATCGTATACATCAAAATCCGCAGCCCAATAAACGTGCGAGCCATTGATGAACTTGTTCTCCGTTGATGGGGGAAAGAAGCTATCGTCGGACACTATAAGCAGATTTCGATGGTTGGATTGTATGCTAGTGGCATATTCGTCAATGCATCTGTCGGACTCAAGCCTTTCGAGGTCGCCCGTGCGTGCTTTCCCCCAGAGGTTTTCAAGTACAGATCGGAGTTCGCCAGGACTGGCGTCGACCGAGGTTCGCCTTGATTCTCCATCTGTAAAGTTAGATATAACTGACCGGACCGTTTCGTCTGTGCAATTCATGCAATGTTCACCGTCCAGAAATGCTCGTCCGACAGAAAACACCCAGTAACCGTTGGATGAAATCGAACCAAACACCGCGGAATTGTACCTGAGGGTCGTAAGCATCAAGAGCTCCAGGATTAATTGCTGCCTTACAAGAGATGCAATGGCAAGGATGATAGTCCCAATGCTGCCCACAGCACAGCTCTACGCCGGCTGATATGTCTGAGATTGCGTATGCCAGGTACACCCACATCGAGGTATACACTAGGCTTGCGACTGTGGGCAGAATCGACTTCGCTTCGCGTTGGTGCAGATAAACACTGCATTGTGTAGTTGCTCCCAGCCAACAGGATCGTACTCAAGATGTTGATGCCAAGATGGAGCCCGGTGTTCAGCCTTTTGACGTGATCGCAATCGCCATCGAAGAAGACACCCTTGGCGCCAGAGGTGGCAGCCATACCTGATACCATGGCCACGAAGTTAATGAGAAAGACCACTGAAGCCAAAATCGCGAAGTTGAGCACGCCAAACCGCCATCCAGTGAAGCGAGACCCTAGATGTTTCTCCACCGCACGCTTGCGCAACCCAAGTATCGATGATGCCTTCGCGCGAATGCTTTGTGGTAACTGCAAGCTCCCGAGAGGTTTTCCATTCCGGTCAGTTTGGGCTGTAAGCGGTACCTGCATCTCGAGATTGCTATTGGATCTCCATTCGGGGTGTATCGTTGAGCGTATCCTAGAAGGCAATAACCGCCAAATTGAATCAGGCATTGCGAAACCCATGAGCAAAAATGTTGGATCCGGACCAAATAGATAGACAACGTAAAAGAGACCAAAGAAGCGCGTAGTATCGTGCGAGAGATCTCCCCCAATGTACACAACCAAAGTTCCCTCGCGAAAAGACCCCTCGGGTTCGAGCGCGAAAGACAGAGGAGACCATGCGAGAGATTGCACCCTCGCAGGTACGAGCCCACCTATCAGCAGTGCCGTCTGGTTTTTGCCAAGTATACCGGCCGCACATTCTCATGGGTTGAGGCTTACTCTGAGCCTCTTGCAAGGCGCCCCGCGCCGCTTTGGGGGCCAAAGTCCGTATGCTAATTCGGTTCTATGTCGTCAATCCGTGTGGATGGGCTACGGTGAGTGGACGACTATCGCACGCGTGTAGGAGCGTGAGATCAATGAACATAGTCATCGTATCCAAGACGTAGACGCAACGCGACGCGGGTGCGAGGAAGGTTCGTTTTCGTCGGGTGTCGCGCACCTCGGAACTAACGGAAGCTGTCTTCCCGAGAAGCAGCGCGCCCAGCAACCTCCAGGGCTGTGAAACAGCACCATCAGGGTGTGTGACAGCGAAAATGACCATCAGCGACGCCGTTGAGAGAAGGACGGTCTCGACTCGGGCGCACCGTCTGCACGAGTCATAAACAGACTGGGAAAAGGTGCTGGTCGGGAAACGCGACGCCGCGTCGTGCGCGCGACATGTTCGCGTTGCTGAGAAGCGGTAGTGCGGCAGAGCTCGGGGCAGTGTCTTCTCAATGCTCGTTCGTCACCGCGGCAGCATGTTTGATCGTGTTTAACGAGCGAAGATCTACTGAAAATAGAGTCAAGGAAATTGCGTGCCTCGGGGCATCGGTAAAGCACGTCAGCTTGCGCGTGAAGGAATAGCCGTGGACCGGTCCGTGGCCACTTGGAAGTCACCGGATACGAATTTAACAACAGCTGTTCTTAGGAAGTGGAGGTGATGTAAACGATAATCATAGTTTCATTGAGTTCTTGCCTGTTAAGTTTAGCGGCACGTACTGGCAGATGCGATCGAGTATGTTTGATCAAGCATCGCAGCGTAAGCATCATAATAATATAGTACATGTCAGATAGAGTCACTTCCGGTGAGCCATCCGATTCCACCATCAACGCCGATTCGCCGAAAAAGAAACCCACATCGAAAACCGTAAATCAATGCAGCCGAAATGATAACTGAGACGTGTTTTGTTGCCGTTCGTCGGGTAAGGAAACAGGAAGGAAGAGAAGAGATGGATTGAGACGCGTCACATCTCCATCGCGTCGGTGTCTGCAGTCGCCATAGGGGCGTCGGCGACTGGCTGGGAAATGGGTGTAGAGGCAGGCGACGGCGTCAACTGGCGAGCATTGATGCGCTCACCCTCAACACGAGGAGTTGAGCCGAACATGAGGTTGCTGACAGTTCGCTCTAATGACCAGCCAACGAGTTGGCACCACTGAAGGTTGTCCGAGAATAACCAGTAGCCCTGGACACCATGTTGCTTAGCACGTACGAGATACGCGTTGAGTGATTCCTTCTCCAACATCACCAGGACGTCGGTGAAGTCGAAATGACGCTCAATCACGCGGGAGTATGCGCGTGCCGCGTCGCGTAAGTTGGGGTTGGTCATGACGTTCTTCCAGCCTACTCCGAGAGATGCGATGAGCGTGTTGATGGTGTTGCCTTTGTCGTCGATGAGCTCTTCGGTCTTCTGAGCATCCATCTCGTTGAGGGGAGTGATTTCGACATTGGCAGTTGGGCTCATGCGGACTGACTTGCGCGATACGGCGATAGGGCGAGCTTCAGCTTCAGCCTTCTCTTCTTTCTCGACTTTCTCTTCGTACCAGGTGCCCGATTGCGACTCGGCTGCCATGGTGTAGCCAGGCTCTCCAGGGTAGATGAGCGTCAT